ATCAAGAAGAAGAAATGGACAAGGGCCGGACCCGTATCACGTACGCAGGATAAGCGCTGGTCCTGAGGGTGACTGACTAGATTCCCAGAGATGGCAAATGCACAAAGGGGAGGCATAAAGTTAGGTGGCGCGATGAAATTATAACTCGGCAGGTATAACGTGGCAGCAGAAAGCACAAAACCGGGTCGATTGGCGGATCATGATAGAGGCCTTTGCCCTGCAGTGGGCGTAGTCAGGATTATGATGATGATGATGATGATGATGATGATGATGGCTGCTGAGTAAGGCAGTACTGAAACACTTTGACACTGCCTGCACAGAAAAATGGACAGTAAAATCTCCACACTATGCGGAGACGTCTTCAGACATCTTCCACATGATGTGGGCATGGCAAAGAAAGCCCGAACCTTGCCCCAAAACCACACCCCAGCCGGGAGGACTACAAGGTGGCCCTGCTCGGCTGATCCGACCTAGCGAGCGAGAAGGCCCTGGTCGACAGAGCTAGAGCTGCGGTGGTCACCAATTGGCTTCTGAAATGAGGAGCCCACCTAAAGTGATTGTGAGAGGTAGCTCCTGCTGGGCCTCCTCAAACTTACTCATATTGAAGCAGCAACAAATGTTTTTCAAGCAAGTCCAGCAGACACAACACTGAACCAAACGTGAGACGGAGACGCAGCAGCGGTGACTTCTGACACGACCGCCACGTAATCATTTTTATCCTGCGGCTGTGCTTTTGATGAGCTCGATTTAACGGTAGACTTCAGGTCTTTAGAACACACCGAGTGTTCTCACATATAAATGGCGCCGTAGGTGCTGGTTGCGTTAGTGTTAGTGGGTATGCCTTTTGCTGTACTAAAAGCACACCAGTTGGCACGCCACGCGTTCCGTTTTAGTGTCAGTGTTGAGACGCACAATAATGCTTACTTAAGCGTTTTCCACTATACTAACACTCTCTAGTAAGCAATATGCATCAGAGCCTGGATAACTGTGTTTAGAACAAATGTTCGACGATTTGGAGCACTTATGTACTTTACCATGGGAGAGCAGAAAGCCTTCCCAGTAGCGCAAAAGTAACGTGTGTTCATAAAAAGTGTTCAACGATTTTCAAGTACTTCGTGCTCAACTATATGACAGAGCAGTGAGCCGTCATGATTACAAGTACGCAACAATGCTGAGGAAATCTGAAACACGTGACGTGTGGTTATAAAAAGTGCTAAACGGTTTAGAGTACTTTTTGTTCTACTACCGAATCGATTTGATTGATATGTGGGGTTTAACGTCCCAAAACCACTATTTGAATATGAGAGACGCTGTAGCGGAGGACTCCGAAAATTGCGACCACCTGGGGTTCTTCAACGCGCACCTAAATCTGAGCACATGGCTCTCAAACGTTTTCGCCTCCATTGAAATTACGGCTGCCGCGGCCAGGATTTGATCCCGCGATTTGCAGGTCAGCAACCGAGTGCCTTAGCCACAGAACCTCCGTTGCGGTACGGCACTTAAATTTGCAGCTAGCTTTTTGTTTACTAAAAGCAATTCTTAAAACTGTTTTCAGCCAGCCTAATATAACTGGCAAAGTCAGCTCAAGCACAAGCGTACAGTTCGGAGTCGTCTCAAACCTTCTGTTGTTTGCTTAAAACATAAAGAAAGGAGACAGTCTAAAGAAACATAGATCTTGCGTCACAGCACCTTGCGTCATATAGTGTGGCAGTACAATGCAACGTCGACCCGTTGCCCACACTGAAACAAACAAACGCACCACACCTGACAACTGGTGATTTATATTTGCCTCACGCGCAATACAAGTGTATGACATAAGAAGCGCCAGTTTAGATCATCCGTTCCTTCACACACAGCCCCTCCGAGAACCCCGCTGAGGGGACCGTTGTATAAACCATGGAGACTTTCGCCTTTGATTGAATGCGCCTACATGCGCGCGCTTTACCTGTGCGTCACTATTTCGCGGTCAAGCCATCTCGCTTAGCGCGGGGAGCTTGTTTTCGGACGCTGACGCCGCTTACGCTTCTCAAAGCTATACACAGCCGGCCAGACGAGCTTTTCATACGTACGTCGCCTGCGCTCTTCTGACGGACGGAAGGCCCTCACCCGGTAAGCGACGGCAGTGGATGGGGATCCTAGTTCGGCGTCTGACTCAGTCACTGGGTCTCTGGGTTTCGGACTTGAAAGGCGTCGACGAAAACGCGCTTCATGAGTGGCGTGCGGCGGCCCGTTCGTTCGGAACGCGTAGTGGTAATGCGCGGGGGACGAACGTATATCTATATAGCACCGGACGGGCCGATCAAAATGCAGGCAAGCGAGCGCCTTCAACGCGCATAACGAAATAGCGCAGCGGGAGGCGTGAGCGTGCGCGCGCGGTGCGACTCGCAATTTACTTCTCGCCGATTCGGCCCGCCCGCCCGCACGCTGAATTCATCGTCGGCTTTTTTGTCGGGGAAATTCAGTTTCACGTGTATCCAAGCTGCAGCCGCAATCAACACCGCAAGGTGAGTGTCAAAGAGACTCCTGCGAAAACCACAAGTAATGGAAGTAATGAAATATTTGAGTGGAGGCTCATCGTACAGTGAGGAGATGTAATGTTTGGTTTTCTCGTATAGCTGTCATTCTGCTGACCTCTCTGCGCCGCTGCTTCAGCGATGTGCCACACGCTTCCGAGGCGAAAAGTGACCGCCGTGTGTACTCAATAGGGCCAGCAAACCTCGTTTAGTGTGAATGTGTGTAAGGAATTCTTGCTCTTTGTTATATATTTCTTTCAATGCGACTGAGAGAACGAAGCTTGTTTAACATTCAAGTGAAAACGAACGTATTTCGTAAACCTAGTGTGGGCATAGAAGCTGTCGTGTGATCCGAAATGCCTATGGTGATGTGCATGCACTATTATCATCGTTAGTTTGCGCAGTTGTGGCAAGGAGTAGGGGAGTCATGACACATACAACAGTCAGCACGCGAATCAAAAGAGGGAGAGAGTAGTCACATATCTCACAAGCGCTTCCGGTGGATGATCCCGACTTTTGTTCGAAAAGAAATAGATGTGTATGACCACACGGTCATACAGCACTGGTCAAAACATCCGACAACATTTTCTTTCGAAGAAGAGGTGACAGGACATGCTGGCGGCAAAACCCAAATATGATTCAATAACTTTCCGACTTGTTTCTGTGTTGCAGTAAAAATGTGCAGTAAATGCACAGCTTTCTGTGGAGTGTATACTTCACACATTTAGGATGATGCAATTTTTATTTGTACATGACTACAGGGATACTGCGCAACGACCAAGATATTTTCTGATACAAGGTAGAACTGATAATATGTCATTTTGTTGCAGTTCTACATTCTATTAGGTGAGCGCTTTACTTGACACGTGGCAACAGTACTGAACTGTGTGCAACCTGCAGTGGCTTAGTGCTCTAGCATAGTATATAGAGTACCAAGTACTCTAGATCGTTAACCAATTGTTCTAAACACATACTGAGAGAGCTCTTAGTTACTGCCGATGCTTGTCGTTTAGTGCACCAGTTATCCTTATTTCAAGTTTAAAAAAAGTCTTACGACGCTTTATACATAGACACCACGTTAAGATTACGAGGCGAGCCGTAGGGGGAACTTCAGGGTGATTTAGCCACCTATGGTTTCAAACGCGCAGTCGAAGAACATTGTTTGTTTGTTTGTTTGTTTGTTTGTTTGTTTGTTTTAACTTCGCCCTCTTCCAATTGTAACCATAGTGGGTGGGAACCAGAGGCCTCGAGCTCAGTTGCGCAACACTTTGCATTTAACCAATAAATTTAACTGTTGGTATTTGACATCCCAAAACCACGGTATGATTATGAAAGACACCGTAGGTGAGCGCTCCGAAAACTTTGACCACCTAAATGGGGCTCTTTAGCGTGCACCTTATTTTAAGCACACGGGTCTCGGGCATTTTCGCTTTCACCTAAATTGCAGCCGTAACGGTCGGGATTCGATTCCGTGACTTTTGGGTCAGTAATGAAGCACCATAAGCACTAAACCAACATGAGGGTTTTTCAGCTACCAAGGCAGGCTCCTTAGTCAATAAATAGAGGGAGAGAAAGAGGTACTAGCCTTGCTGTACTGAGGGCTTATGGTGCACAACTGGCGTAGTATTTGTGTAGAGTAATCCACTAAACGAGCTACATGGGCTCAGTAAGTGTCACTACAATGAGGGTGTCGAAACCACAAATTTCTTCGTTCGTCAGTGATTTTCGCTATTCGCCGATTCTCTTCGCTTACATGTCCAGCGTCGGGATTAAGATTGCTTTTCTGTTTCGAACAATTACAGCGTAAGATATTTTTTACAGTACGAGCCGGGTGACCTGAGACATTATGGAGCACAAGATCGCAAATTCGTGCAACAGTGGCACTTTCAAAAGCCCCCTGTACAGTTTGCTGGCGAGTAGTAGAATATGACCTTTATAGAGGCAAAGGTTAGGGCAACTACGAGTACATCAGAAGATAAGCAGAACAAAATTGCTCATATGAACGCAACATTTCATACCGTTTTTGACCAATAAAAAGGAAACACCCAAGGGTTTGATTCCTGGTAGGGGTGACTGCGCGGAGCTGGGATACAATGCAATGAAAACACGGAAAATATTCCTTGTCAGTGAACTTGAAATTGTATAAAAGATGAAAAAAAACTGACACGAAATAGGATGAAAAACGGTGATGTATATGCAGAGCGAGCCGAACGCACACATTACGCATTTCGCTTGCAATTGTCACTCCAGTCGAAATGCGAGATACTGTGAAGTGCGCAATCAGGTAGTTTTCCTCGCGCTTTCCATAAGTTTATTAATATCAGCGTGCGGGACAATTTTTGCCCATTTATTATTACGAAAAGAAAAAAAAACTCGAACAGACAAGGATGATTGAAGAACGTATCGTTGTAATATGCAATATCCCCCCAAAAAACGAACAGTACCCGCCTCACGTAGAAGAAGGTTTAAATGCCTGCTTACACTCACCTCGAGTTCTGCGCGTTGGCCTTTGCAGCAATTCTAGCGTGCCTCCTCGCAGCGACCGGAGTGCCGGGAGCGGAGGTTCTCCGGCCAAACAGCCGACCCTTGCCGAAGCGCATGGCTGTCGCTGCCTTTCACTACGACCGATGGAGCTGGTCGCCGGACCAGGACGCCAGATTGGCCCGGCTGACGAAGACTCGTCTGTAAAAGGGAATAGACTCAAGTGAGAAAAACGCTAGTTACATAAGCTTACGTTGTGTATAGCGAATACGTGTTAACACAAGATTGCAAAAGGTCAATAGTCTGTGTAATACATACAGTCAGCGTTACGATATACGATAGTCTGTGTAATACATGCAGTCAGCGTTAAGCTTCATTTATATAACTGCATCGTCTAGAAACGAAGGCATTATGTCTCCCATTGCGTTTAACTACTCTCCAACCTGGCTTTCGAGCATGCGTATTTGTTGCGGCGCAGTAAGTATGTTGCGTACGGACGTATGTTTCGTCTAGCCATGTACAGCTTGACTGAAATACGCAAGGTCCCTGCCACAGTGCAAGTATGTGCAGGTAGGACCTGGCAAAAGATTACACGTTTTATGTGCAGAGCACTTTATGGTTTTCGGGATGTCGTATGCGGTCTTATGCTGTCATAACAAGCCGTCGCTTGGCGTCGCGCACTCACACGTAATCACGGGTAGCATAGCCATGTATCTCATTATCATGCATAGTAAAGGGAGGGAAAGGAAAGGAATGGCAATGAAGAGCTAGCATAAGAAAGGAAAACTGACAGCCACTTGATTGTTCTTTCTTGACCCTACTGTCATATTGCTGGATTCCGCAGAGCTGATTTTATACTACCTGCAATATATTCTAGCCACTGCACTAATTTGAAATAGCTCATCATATGCAATACAGAAGTATGTAACAATACAGCAAAATGGTGGGAAAGGTAACTGATCGCGGGGAGGAAGAAAATGAAGAGGGGGGAGGGTAAAGCGTAGCATAGCCGTGTGTATGCTACATTACAGCATGGGGTGTAAAAGAGTGGAGAAGGGGGAAAGAAAAATAGGAAAGCAGAGCGTAGCATAGCCGTGTATAGTACACTATGGCAAATAATGTGGTGGAAAAGTGAAGCCATGTTGAGGAGGAGGTAAGTGAAGGTGGAGACGGTTAGAGGGAGGAGAGGGTAAAGGCATAACATAACCGTACGTATTACAGCAAGTGGTGGGAAAGGGAAGCGAGGGTCAGCTGAAGATCAGTGAGGTTGAGAAAAAGGAAGGAAAGGTGGGGGAGGGAAGGCTAAACATAGCCCAAGCCAGTGTATGATATAGAATAGCAAGTGGTGGGAAAGGAAATCGAGGGTAAAATGAGACAGTGGGATGGTGAAAAGGAGAGAGAGGAGCAGTGAAGAGGGCACCCCTGCACCACTAATGAAATAAAGTTTCCTTTCCCACTATAAACGCCGAGGTAGCGGCGCGTTTGGAACGCCCGCGCGTGCTTGTACTTAGAAGTGTGGCAGCATGGGCTAGTTGGTATGACATGACGATAGTTATAGCGCGAGTAACAGAACGACGACAACTGGCCCGATACCAACTGGCCCGATACAATTGTTTATTGACAAAGAGACATCGTGTCCTTCATGTCCTTCTTGTCTCTTTGTCGTCGTTCTGTTCTCGCGCCATAACTATCGTCGTTCTTGTACGTGAACGCGAGGGTTCCTGAAAGGCAGGCGAGTCACTGCTCCTCACATCTTGCAGTAGTTGTTCTCATTGGAGACTCCGCGAAAGCGCTCGTCAGAAAAAATAAAAACGCTTTTGTTTTTCTTTCTGGCACACTATGTTCCATAACCACGGCCCTTTCGCACTTTTGGTATCCTGTTTTGCACAACAGCCCTGTAGCGCGGCGAAGCTAACTTAGGTTTCCCGTTTTTCATGAGATCGTCGTAAATATTCTGTTCTGCCACATATGCATGCAAGCATTCCTTTCCAAGGCTCGCATTCTTGAAAAGCAATCACAACTAGAAACACGTTGAATATGGCTGGAGACCACATAACTTATTGACGAGTTGTTCAGCTCGAATTGGCGTGCAAATTAGCTCACCATTATTTGCCAGAGAGAAATAAAAGGCACCTTTTTTTCATGCTGAGCGTCGGATCATATATATATATATATATATATATATATATATATATATATATATATATATATATATATATATATATATATATATATATATATATATATATATATATGTGTATATATATACAGAGAACAAGAGACAACACCCGATCCTGGGCCAGCTGTTCTATTCTCCACTTCGTCTTCCTCCGCTTCTTCCAGCTAGCTCCTCGCACCCAGAGCCCCGATTCCGCTGCTCTTAGTCATCAGTGCTCATCACACTCGGCCATGACTGCGAGTGCGTGGAGCTGCCGACAGTGCTTCAGGTGGGCGCGGTTGGCTGCATAGTGGTGGTCGGACTCTTCCACGCTTGAACTTCGTGTGAAAATATTTTGGAGCAAAATCCAGTGGCCGACATTGAATGTGTCACCGTGGTCGTTCGAAATGTCGGTTAAGACGCCGAGGTTTACTGAGGTTTGGCGTGAACTTTGGCCGATACCGACTCTGGGTTACGACTTTGTGTTGCGGCAGTCTATAACATCGGCCATGTTGCAACGCTTCCAGTGCGTTTTCCGACGGGCGGAATAAGTTCTGTCGCTGCGGTTGATCTCGTCCAAGGTTCGACGTGTTCGGAAGACTTGGTGAAAACAGTTCTGGCGGGTGGTATTGACTTCCTCACCTGGGTCGGACCCGTCTAGGCTGTGACTTGGCACGCTGAGGCTGTATTTGTTGCCTTGGTCGGCCACAGTGTCGTTGTTGACGTTGGGCATTGGCATTCGCTCGCACCTTGGTCGATGAAGACTCGGAGGTATAAAACTGGTTGTACCTCGGTGATCTGTCTTTACGACGCTGTAACATGGTGTAGAGATTTGGTGGGCGACAGTGGGTGTGTTGGAGCAGTCGTAGCTTGCCGAGTAGACATTTATGTCGTCTGATTGGGGTGGTGTTTTTATGCGCATTTGAATGCCAAGCCGGAAAATTCTTGCGCAACAGAGGGTGAGTGCGAGCGCTCACAGGCCACTGGACACAATCATGATGCGACGTGCCCGAAGCTTCCTTGCTGTTATCGCTCTTGTTTTGACCGAGCTGGTCATGGCCTGAACAATCAGGGGCGATTTCCATGGTGACGACTTCATGGGGGTCTGCGCGACGTTCAGGTTGTACGTTGGGAGTCAGAATGGCGTGCTTGTCGCCGTCGGCAAGATCGTACATCATGTTGCCAGAAAGGCCGATGCTGGCTCTCTCTGCCTGGAACGCATCGATGTAGCTCACACTGCTCGGCCAATGACTGCAGATGTGGTACACACTGGTCCAAGATTGTCTCCTTGCTATCCACGGTTGTCTCCGACAGCTGTCTTGGAAATGGCATTGGTTGCTGGCACCGAAGTTCATGAGATGGGTCCCGGTGTGAAACCTGGCATCGGAAGAGCAACGCCTGCCTTGGAGCCTGTTTCAGTGTACCCTGCGGAGCATTCAGCCAAGAGGTCATCAAAGCTTATGCAGGATACTGCTGCACATTCGTGGTGGTTCAGTGTGGGTATGTCGTTTGAGTGACGTCCTTCACGAGGCCCGTCTCCGTTAGTGGTCTTTGGCTGAGCTGAACTAGAATTGGACGACGGCACAGAGTCCGAAAGCTCAAGTGAACTGCAACGCATGACTGCAACCTGGAGGCGGAAACCCGCCTGCGCCTTATCCTCGGTAGTCGTCAGGCTGAACTGGGTGGTGGAAGGCAGATTGGAGAGCGTCCGGCCGAAGGCAGCTATGAGCTTGGAGCTCCACTCCACCCAAGACTGCTGCTTGAAGCCTTCATACCGGTGCCACGCCGCTGCACCTTCCCGAAGACGGTCTACAGCCACGGTCCATTTCTGAGATTCCGTCCGGGCCTCGCGCATTTCTACAGCGTTGACGGTTGCCACCCAGCGATCGGCGTCGTTCCGAACCGCGTGGAATTCCGGTAGTTCGCAGACGGCTGGTGATCGTGAGGTGGGAGGAGGCAACGCAGAGATCACCGACGCGAAGCAGTCGAGCTGGTTTGAGAGCTCGATGAGAGAAGACCGGCGTTGCTCCGGTTTGCTTGCCTCAAGGTCGTGTGAGGCAGCTACATCCAACACTGTGCTAATGTCACACAATGCTGGCAACATTGTAGGAGCTCACTCACAGATGGATGCTGTAAGTTCGTTAGTCTTGACGCGGAGTAACGCGATGGTACGCCGCAGGTCCGCGGCGCTGTCGGGTGTGAAGCCCGAAGAGTCAGTGATCGCGGTCTTCAAAAAAGTAGTGGTTGCACCACTTACACCAGCGAGATTGGCGAGCAGGGAAGCCTGGACGGCGTTCAGTGGCGGCTCGTGTGTTGGAAGAGTACTGCAATGGGAATGAAGGCCATGGGAAGCGTGAGCGGCATTCCCAAGGGACAGGAGCCGGTGCGGATCCCTGCCGTGAAACGGTGGCAGGGTTTCAATCAGGTCATGGTCTAGAACCACATGGGAGGCCTGGACGCCGTCCACAGGTGGTCTGAAGGGTGGCTGAAGTGGCGGTTGGGACCCCATCGTTAAGGAAGCGAGAACGGCGTTCCTTGATGGAGAAGCCCACGTTGCCGACGAACCACGAAGACACGTACCGGTGGCTTTCTGCAGAGGGTTCACTTGTCGGACTGCGCCATTGTAATGAGCGAGACAGAGAACAAGAGACAACACCCGATCCTGGGCCAGCTGTTCTATTCTCCACTTCGTCTTCCTACGCTTCTTCCAGCTAGCTCCTGGCACCCAGAGCCCCGATTCCGCTGTTCTTAGTAATCAGTGCTCATCAACATATATATATATATATCTATATATATATATATATATATATATATATATATATATATATTATATATATATTATATAATTGTATGAAGAAGATGGTGCTACTCAGAAAGGCAGGGGGTAGACTCAGTCGGTGAAGAAGACGACGTTTGGTTGGCTGGGTACTCAGACTGGTTCCGCCATACCACTTGACGTGTCGTGACCACTCTCTTGTTTTATAAAGAGTGCCACTCTAAACGCCCATTATAATTGTGGAGGTGCTGGGGGGTCACGCCTAAC